TCTATCCATTGAGCCATCTTGCCAGCCAATTTCTCAGCTGGACATCTTCCTATCATACTCACCCAACAGACTGTCAACAGTATTCTTCCAACTTTTTAAATTTCTATCACGTCCATCACTCCTCCACTAAGAATTCTTTGTCTTCCCCTAACTGGATTAAAACCAAAGCACAGGTTGTAGGTCAATGCCAAGTCTTTGACTATAATGTCAGAAGACATGGAGAGCTTCTGATAGGTTTTAATTAGAGCAGCTGTAACTTCTTAGTTGTTTTTAAAGGGTCCCTCTGGCTGTTGACTTAAAAAAAAAAATAGATTGTAGGGGAACAGGGTGGAAACAGAGGCCAGACAGGAGCAAATGGGCCATCTGGAGGAGAAAGGAAAGCGGCAGGGCTGGGGGATGACAGAGAAGTGGGGAAATCTAGTTGGATTTTACGTTATTTTTAGATTTTATTTATTTGTGTGTGTGTGTGTGTGTGTGTGTGTGTGTGTGTGTGTTTTGCCTGCATGTATGTAAGCACTCCATGTGTGTGCAGTGCCTGTGGAGGCCAGAAGAGGGAGTCAGGTCCTGTCCCCCCTCACCTCGCCCCTAGAACTGGAGTTACAGATGGTTGTGAGCCACTCTGTGGATCCTGAGAACTGAACCCAGGTCCTCTACAAGAATAGCAAGTGTTGCCGGGCGGTGGTGGCGCACACCTTTAATCCCAGCACTCGGGAGGCAGAGCCAGGCGGATCTCTGTGAGTTCGAGGCCAGCCTGGGCTACCAAGTGAGTTTCAGGAAAGGTGCAAAGCTACACAGAGAAACCCTGTCTCGGAAAAAAAAAAAAAAACTGCTCTTAACCACTGAGCATCTCTCCAACCACTAGCTGGATTTCATTTTTATTTGTTTATTTGTTTGTTTGTTTATTTATTGCGGTTCTGAGGATTGAACCCAGGGACTAAATGAGCTATACTATCAGCCCCAGCTATCTAGATTTTACATAGTCTATGCTTTGTAAAAAAAAAGAAAAGAAAAAAAAGACTTACCATGTAGCCCAGGATGGGCTTGTATTCACACCCCTATTGCCTTAGGTTTCTGAGTGTGGGGATTATAGGCCTGAACTACCACACCTGGTGAAAATATTTTTTAAAATTTCTTCCAAAGGACAGAATAAGGCACTCACTACCAAGCCTAATTACCTGAGTTTGATTCCCAGGCCCCACATGGTGAAGGAGAGAAATGACTCCCAAAAGTTGTCCTCTAATTTCTGTATATATACCATGGCACATGTATGCATGAGCACACGATGTAAGCACACACACACACACACACACACACACACACACACACACACACAAAATGTAAAATAAAATTTTAAATTTGTTGGAAAATAGGTCTTTTTTTAATCTGAATTTTATCCAGTTCTGCAACCCCAGCATTCAGAAGGCTGAGGCAGGAGAATCTTGAGCTCAAGGCTGTTCTATCTACACAGAAAGGCTTTGTCTTAAAAAAAAAATCCGGGGTTAGGGATTTAGCTCAGTGGTAGAGTGCTTGCCTAGCAAGCGCAAGGCCCTGGATTCGGTCCTCAGCTGCGGGGGGAAAAAAAAATCCTGGAGGCTGAAGAGAAGGCTAACCACTTAACAGTACTGGCTGTTCTTCAAGAGGACCCAGGTTCTATTCCCTGCACCTGCATGGCAGCTCACACCTGTCAGAAACTCCAGTTCCAGGGGATCTGACATCTTCTGGCCTCTCTGATGCACATCATATACATGCATACACACATGCATACACATAAAAAAAATTTAAATTAAAAAAAAAATCCTGCATTTGGCCATGCTGGGCAGCACAAACCTGTAATCCCATTTACTTGGGGGCGCTGAGACTGAATGGTCACAGTTCAACGTTTGCCTGGGCCACCAGCACACAATTTCAGACCAGTCTAGGTAACATGGAAAGACTTTCTCTCAAAAGACAAAGTGAAAAGGTGGATGGGGTGACACTGGGGTCAGACTTCAGCGGAAGAGCACCAGCCTGGCAGGCACGGGTTCAATCCTTAACACAGCTAAATATATAAACAGCACCTGTACTACATGTATAGAGACGTACCTCGTGACCGTTCCATACACAAGTATTAATGCACGATTCACACTGCGTTAGATGTCAAATAATCTAGAGACAGTGCAAAGTAAGCAGCATGGGGGCTGGGCATGTCAACTCGACAGTAGAACACTTTGGTGGCATGCATGAGGCTCTGTTTGATCGTTAGTGCTTCAGAGAAGAAAAGGAAAGGTTGGGGGGCGGGAGAGATACACAGCCATGGGGTTCGGTATCCTCTGAAGGTCCTGGAACCAGTCCTTTGAGGGTACCAAATAACGACTGTACTTTCAGTGCATAGTCAACAGAGTTTGTTGATGAGACATACAGAGATGTGATAGAAAGCGGGAGGGGGGGGCAAAGCATAGCTCCAAGAGATTTAGCCATATCCACTGGAAGGACAGAACTGCTATATAGAGGGGAAATTGTGGGGAAAGCTGGGTGCAGTGGTGCATGTGGAGGTAGGGATTTGTAATCCCAGCACTTGGGAGGCTAAGGTAGAATGTTTGTGAGTTGGAGGCCAGCCTGAGCTGCAGAGGGAGTTCAAAGCTGGTCTGGGCAGCTAGTGAGACCCTATCTCAAAATAATAATAATAATAATAATAAGAAGAAGAACAACGCCGGGCGGTGGTGGCACACGCCTTTAATCCCAGCACTAGGGAGGCAGAGGCAGGCCAATCTCTGTGAGTTCAAGGCCAGCTTGGTCTACAGATTGACTTCCAGGACAAGGCTGCACAGAGAAACCCTGGAGAGAGAGAGAGAGAGAGAGAGAGAGAGAGAGAGAGAGAGAGAGAGAGAGAGAGAGAAAGAGAAAGAGAATGCTTGCTGTACAAGCATGAGGAACTGACTTTAGGTCTCCAGCATCCACATAAAAAGGCAGGAGAGGCCACGCATGCCCAGTGCTATGGGGGAGTGGAGACCAGAGGAAGGCTGGGGCCTTGCTGGTAGCTGGTCTACCTCTAGGTTCAGTGAGACGCTGTCTTAGGGAAATAAGGCAGGGAGTGACAGAATAGGAAACCTGACGTACTCTTCTGGCCTCCCCACCTACATAGACATAAGCACATCACCACAGACATACATCGTACACACAACAAGAAAGAAAATATATTTAATTAAACAGAGAACTGAGGAGTAACACAATGGTGGGTTGCTTTCCTAACACGCATGAGTCTCTAGATTCAGCCTCTAGTACAGAAAAAAAATAAATAAATAAATAAAAGAGAGGATTACAGAGTCTTAAAGAAAAAAAATGCCAGCTTCATTCTGGTGGTTCTGGATTTGCTTGCCTGTTGGACACCTACGCAGAGAACAGTCATCCTCATAAAGCCAAATTTCTAATCTTTAAAAGAAGCAACTGGGATCCCAGGAGGGTTGATCTGTGGTTAGCATGCTAGTTACCTTTCCACAGAGTATCCGACAGAACAGCTGAATGGAACAAAGATTAATTTATGGTGGGGAAGCCATGGCAGCAGAAAGGTATAGTAGCTGCTGTTCACATGGTGTAGACAGGAAGCTGGAGGAGAATCTGATACACCCTTCTACAAAGGCCCGCCTTCTTGACCTACTCCTCCAGCCAGGCCCCACCTCTTAAAGGCCCCACAGCCTTTAAAATAGTACCAATACTGGAGATAGGTTATTCAAAATGTGAGCCCATAGGGGACATTTAAGATTCAAGGCTGGCCGGGAGGTGGCGGCGCATGCCTTTAATCCCAGCACTTGGGAGGCAGAGGCAGGTGGATCTCTGTGAATTTGAGGCCAGCCTGGACTCCAAAGCGAGTTCCAGGAAAGGCGCAAAGCTACACAGAGAAACCCTGTCTTGAAAAAACCAAAAAAAAAAAAAAATAATAAAAATAAAGATTCAAGGCTGGGCTAGGCATGGCGGCACACACCTTTAATCCCAGAATTTGGAAAGCAGAGGCCAGGAGGACCTCCATGCGTTTGAGGACAGCCTGGCCTATGTAGTGAGTTTCAGGACAATTAGGCTTAAGGAGACCCTCTCTCAATTAAGCAAAACAAAACAAAAAACAATCAAACATTCAGTGAAGGGGATGTTTCTGTATATCCTGCAATAGCCAGACCCCTGATGGCTATTTTCAAATGTACAGTCTTTATGTGGGTTCTTCCCTGCAGAATATCAGATACGGTCCATGTGACCAATGGAGTAGGAATTTAATAGGAAGTAAGTAGCAGTTTGTAGTTTTGTGAGGCAAGATGACAAAACATACCTCGTCTTCCCCCCAAACCCCTTCTTGGACCACTTATTCTCGGGAAGTTAACATGCTGTGAGCAGATCGAATAATGCAAAGCTACAGCCTCTTGCCAGTGACCAGAGATAAGGACTTGGAAGCGGATTTTCCAGCCCCCAATCAAGCATTCAGATGACTGCAGCCACAGATAACACTGAGTACAACTTGTGAGCCCGACCACCCAGATAAACCATTTCCTAGTGCCTGACGCTCAGGAATTATGACTTAATAAATGTTTACTGTTTCCGAGCCACTCAGTGGGGGGTGGGGGTGGTAATTTGTTATGCAGCAAAAAAAAAACACAAATAAACAAACAAAGCAAAATAACAGCAACAACACCAACATACCTCTCACATTCAAGTGGTGGGGGTGATCTAAGAAAAAAAGAGAGATGGTCACTTCATGCCGCCATCAAACCTCTGCTTCAGCAGACTTAACGCTCCGCCCCAGGACTAGCGTAGCAGAGGGATGAGAAATGGAGAAAGACATAGAGCAGAGAGGGGGGTTGGTGATGGGACAGTCTATATGATAACCATTGGGATACTATGCCCAGAACAGTGCTTGCAGGCCAAGGTGTTGTGTGACTTTTCCTGGGTAAACAGGAACCAACATCTGTCTATTCGTGCCAGATGGGGTGCTGGCCACAGACCAAAGAAACAGTTCCATCCAAATCTAGCTTAGCTGGGTTTGCCCACAAGAATATGGGTGATGGATCATTTACAGGAGCAGAGATGACTCAAAGGTGGCTGTATCACTGAGAAGCCCACTCCAGCAAGGGTGACGCTAAAAAGCTGCATCCCTAGAGCTCCCTTTCAGGGCTTGCAAGCAGGCTGCTACGCCTGGTGGGAGAGTCTCCTTTCCCCGGCAACTGTCACTCTTGTATAACCGTGGGGGACATCCTGAGCCTTGGAAATTTAGTTCAGAGTCTCAGTGAGCCTCCCTTCCCCTGCAAGGGAAGGATTTTTCCATTCCAAGGAAATCCCTACCAACACAAGAGTCACCCAAACGCAAGAAAGGCAGTAGTAAGCATGCCACAGAGCTAAGATGAACCTGTCACTATAAGAATCCACAATCTAAGACCAGGCGGTGGTGGCATACACCTTTAGTCCCAACACTCGGGAGGCAGAGCCAAGCGGATCTCTGCGAATTCGAGGCCAGTCTGGTCTACAAAGTGAATTCCAGGACAGGCTCCAAAGCTACACAGAGAAATTCTGTCTCAAACAAACCAAAACAAGGGGGCTGGAGAGATGGCTCAGAGGTTGAGAGCACTGCTTGCTCTTCCAAAGGTCCTGAGTTCAATTCCCAGCAACCACATGGTGGCTCACAACTGTCTGTAATGAGATCTGGTGCCCTCTTCTGGCCTGCAGGGATATGTAGACTGTATACATAATAAATAAATTTAAAAAAAAAAAAAAGATTTACCTTAAAAAACAAAACAAAACAAAACAATCCATACTCTAGGCTGGCAAGGTGGTTAAGTAGGCAAAAGTGCTCACCATTAATGACCTGAGTTCTATCCCTAAGACCCACATGGTGGAAGGAGAGAATTGACTCCTGCAAGCTGTCTTTTGACCTCCACACGTGAACCATGGCTTACACTTACACGCACACACATTCGCATAAATAACTGTTTTAAGAATCCATGATCTGCCCAGCCTGGGCACACCTGTAGTCCCAGCACTCAGGAGACAGAGGCTGTAGGATTACCCCAAATTCAAGGCCAGCCTGGGTTACATAGTGAGTTCCAGGCCTGTCAGGGCTACATAGTAAGACCTTGTTGCAGGATAACAGAGAAAACTGGAACTCTGGACACAAGTTATACTCAACAAAGCACTGATGACCAAAAGTGGAGTGAGGAGGGAGAGTTAAATTGTGGAAGATTGCTGGGTGGTGATGGTGCATACCTTTAATCCCAGCACTCAGTTAGTAGAGGCAGATGGATCTCTGTGAGTTCAAGGCTAGTCTGGTCTACAAAGAATGTCCCAGGACAGCCAGGGTCACACAGAGAAAGCCTGTCTCTAAAAAAAGAAAGAAAGAAAGAGAGAGAGAAAGAAAGAAAAAAGAAAAGGAAAAAAGGAGAAAAAAAGACTTTAATTTAAAAAAATAGATTTATTTTCTTTTACATGTTTGAATGTTTTACCTCCATGTATTATACCATGTGCATGGTATAATACACCTGAACCTGGATCTTTGGCAAGAGCAACTAACAAGTGTTCTTAACCACTGAGCCATCTCTCTAGCTCTTTATTTTAAAAAATGATGTATATGTATGTGTGTCTGTGTGTGGGTACATGCATGAAAGTGTAGTTGCCTGCTAAGGCCAGAGAGGGTATCGGAGTCCCTAGAACCAGAGTTCCAGTGAGCTGCCTAACCTGACTAGGAATTGAAGTTAAGTCCTCTGCAAAAGCAGAGCACACTCTTAATAGCTTAGTTATCTCTTCAAGCCCTTGACCAGCTTTATTATTGTTATTTGTTTTTGAGACAGGGCCTCACCATGTAAATCTGGCTGGCATAGAACTTGCTCCGTAAACCAGGCTGGTCTCATACTCAGAGAGATCCACCTGCCTGTACCTCAGGAGTGCTGGGATTAAAGGTGTGCACTGCCACACCCAGCCTTGATTGGGTTTTTAATGTTAAAAGTTATACTAAAGCTGTGGATCCTTCCAGATTTTCCGAAGAAATTTGATA